TTTTTCTCTATTAGTTTTCCAAATGTGTATTGTGGAGCACTAAATTGATTTTTTTATTATATTTTATTGATTATGCCATTATAATTGCCCTGATTTCTCCCCCTCTGTCCCCCTTTATCCAGCACCCCAGGGAATTGCCCCACCATTATTCATGTGTGTTTTTCCTGGGGCCACCCTGCCTGAGTCATAAAGCAATCTGAGATGGCTGCTACTTGTGCTGGGCTTGGAGGTTTCCAGGCAAAGCCAAGCTGTGAATCTAGGCTGGCTGCTGCTAGTGCTGGGCCTGGGGCTCACTGAGGCCTGCTGTTGCTTGTTTGAGAGTATATAGGAAGTTGTGCGGCATAAGCCAAGATCAGCCACTCACAGGGAAAAGCAGCCTGGGTGGGCTCATAAGTTGGGTGGGGTGGAGTCTCTGGGGATCTCGAAGACGGGTCAAACAGTGTTAGCCAGGTTGATGGAGTCTCAGATATGGCACCAGCTGGCCAGCTCTGTGGCTCAGCAGGGGAAGGGTTTAGAAAAGGGACAATTGCCTCTGCTCACCTTGCTGCCAGACCCTTCCGTTTCCCCCAGTATGCCACTGGTGCCTTTCAAGCTGCTACCCCGGAGCTGGAGATCAGAGGCAGTGAGTCTGAGTAGGTGAATCTGTGTGTGGGTTCTTTAAGAGGAACTGCTTGGGGCTCCAGAAGTATTTTTTCCACAGACTCAATCCCTGCTGCTTTTGCAGGCAGAAGTTGGGGGTACCTATCTTCCTGGCACTAGAACACTGGGTTGGGAGGCCCGATGTGGGGCTGGGACTCCTCATTCTGGGGGTGTCCCTCACCATTTTTTATCCACCGCATGTGGGTGTGGGGTCCGCCTGTCCCATACCCGCGCCCCTCCTTGCAGTCTGGATGGATGTGGTTTCTTTCATTCCGTCGTTGTCAGACTTCCATTCAACTCAGTTTCTGTTGATTGTGAGTGATGTTTTAGTTGTGACTTTGATGTGGTTGTGCAAAAAGGCGAGCCATGTCTCCCTATGTGGCCATCTTGACCAAAAGAGAAAAGTGCCTGTTTCTAAGAAAAGAAAAAAGAATCTCCTGCATTCCATTCACTGGTTCAGAGCCAAAGCAAATAAACGTAACTGGGCTGGATTCCTAATGGGAGTGGTCAGCTCTGTTCAGAGTAGAGGTGCACATCAAGCTCAAAGTTGAGGGGCTCAGTTCAGAATCAGGGGAGCAATGTTAAATACGGGATCCAAGGCATGAGTTTGTGGCTATAGACAAGCGAAGGATAAGAGCCCAGAAGCCCAGGAGTACTCAGCTGGTAGAGAAGCAAAGTATTAGGCCAGAGAAGTCAGAGAGCTTGTGGATGTAGCCAAGAACAAAAAATTAAGTCAGTGAGAGACAAATACCGTAGGATCTCACCTATGAGAAGAACCTAATGAACAAAATAAACTAACGAACAAAGTAGAACCACAGGCATGGAAACATGGAACAGACTGGCAGTGACTAGAGGGGTGGGGGAGAGGGACAAAGGTGGACAGCAGGGGAGGGACTCGTTAAGGAACATGTATGAATGGCCCATGGCCATGGACAACGGTTTGGGGATTGACCGGGGGAGCTGGGGGCGAGATGGGTGGAGGAGGGCAAAGGGGGAGAAATTTGGACAACTGTAGTAGAATTACAATAAAAAATCTTTTAAAAAGGAATAAAATAAAAATTCTAAGGAACAGCAACAACAAAATAATGCGTAGCACTCTCTTGCTGGTGGGTAGGACTGTGGTTTTAAAGACACAGAGCGGGGCCAGACTTTTCCTCTCAGTTACCAAAATGTCATAAAGCACTACTGTATTTTTAAGTTCAAACAAATAGAAAATGTAATGGTTTTGTAAAAAAAAGTGTTTAAACTGTGGAGGAAGTGCTATTCTGAATGAAATTAAAACTCATGAAAATATAACTTTTGGGGCCAACATTAGATACGTATTTTCTCCCGAAATACATAGGGTGTATTTCGGGAGAAAATGCATAGGTAGTGTTTTGTATGTATTGATGATTTCGTTTTCCTCTCCAAATACCACTGGCACCTGGTGCCTCATTCTGCCGCAGACACTGCGCATGCACCTCAGAGTCACCGAGCTCAGAACAGGTGGTGGGGCTGCCGGCGCCTTCTCCTTCTGACCACCGGCTGCTTTAACTTTTAGTTTTGATACAACCTTATTTTACCTTGATAGCATATTTTCCTTAAGTGTCAACAAGTAATTTAATGTAGAAACTATAATGTCCTTTTATAGGATTTTTAAAGTTGATGAATTTCCTAGACTTTGAAAAAAATCGCCATATAACCATAGGATAGAATGGTGGAATTAAAGTCACATTGAAAACAGAGACCCACTCGTTTCTGGGAAAAAGAAATCCAGTCATATCTGGTTTTCTCTCTGCGTGCGTCCAGTGACGTCTCCGACCAGCTTACAGAAGTAGCCAGTTACTCTCATCCACTTTTTTCACATACCTGGGAATTAAATTTTTTTAAAAAGTTTTATAGGCCCTGGCTGGCATAGCTCAGTGGCTTGAGCTCAGGCTGTGAACCAAAGTGTCGCAGGTTCGATTCCCAGCCAGGGTACATGCCTGGGTTGCAGGCCATGACCCTCAGCAACCGCACATTGATGTCTCTCTCTCTCCCTCTCTCTATCTCGCTCCCATCCCTCTCTAAAAATAAATGAATAAAATCTTTAAAAAAAGTTTTATAAATTAGCTCTTGTTTTTTAGTGTTTATTAATTTATTTACATCTTAATTATGACTTTTCTTAAACTCACCTATGTATTTTTCTTTAAACACACTCTCTGTATATTCAGTCATAGAACAGGCTATTTAGTCTCTTGACTTACATTAGCAGTTGACTGAATAGCAATTATTGAATCAATACACTGCGATTTTAATCCCTATTAAAGTTTGCCAATGCCAGATCCAAGCTGCCAGATTTGCAGATTTAGAAATTGCTGGCATCTTCTTCCTGTACAATCTACTAAAGATAACTATATCAGATGGTCCCAGATTAAGTTAAACATGACATTCTCTATTTTGGGGTTATCTTTCATTGTTTGAAAAAAGTCATAATTCTGAGGAGTTATCTGTTGCAAATCTTGAAGGTTATGATTTGCAAGGCATCAAAGTACTTTTGAAAATATTTTCTCTAACAACCTACCATGGTGCCTGAAACCCATACTCGCATGACTCCTACGGGCCACTTAACACTAGACATGTAGACATACATACAGATAACAGATATAGGTATATACGTGCAGAGACAAATACAGACTATCATATAGACAATGATAAATATTGCATCACTAAAAAAAAATCGCTTCAAATAGCTTATCAGACAAAAGCCATGAGGTGAAAAAAGATAAACTTGGAGGGTAGGCGTGTGGGTTTTTGTGTGTGTGCATGCGTGCATGCATGTGTGTGTGTGCGTGCATGAGCGCGTGTGCACGGGAGGAGTAAAAACCTCGGAAAAGGTGCGCCCTAAGGAAAGTTGATCAGGAGCAGGGTGACAAGGCTCGAGGAGTCCTGAGGAACAGATGGAGAGGGATGACGTCTGCCCTTTCTAGCGTGTTGAAAAGTCCAGGATTTGTGCATTTAATTTTACCTATTTAGTCAGTCATGCCCAAGGATTGAAGGAGGCTTTAACAACTATCATGAAACTTGAAATAATTTTTCTTTACCTGGTCCAATAATGTTTTAAATGGCATTCTGTACTTATAGGTAAGTCATACACATGCTCATGGCTACATTTCTTGGCTTTTTTATTTTTTATTAAGATTTTTAAAAAATTGTTTTTAGAGGAGAAAGGAGGGAGAAAGAGAGGGAGAGATACATCAGTGTGTGGTTGCCTCTCGCACACCCTCAACGGGGGACCTGGCCTGCAACCCAGGCATGGGCCCTGACTGGGAATCGAAACGGTGACCCTTTGGGTCACAGGCCGGCGCTCAATCCACTGAGCCAACATCAGCCAGGGCCATTTCTGGGGTTTTAATATTTGTAAATGCCAAATATAAATAAATAGGTTGTCCTTGTTCTTCTAGAAAGACATTTTTTAAAATTTGGAAGCCAACTCCAAAAAGAGATTTTACTGTTGAGAGGAAATATCTGTGAAGAAAATGTCCTGTTAGTTAATTTTTTTAATGCTGTTTTCAGATGTGTTCACTTGCAGCCTTATCTAAGCTGACAATTTCCCAAATGCCGGGTCGGAAATGGTGTCAGATATCTCAACACGGGACTGTCCTCTTTCCTTTTTCTCCTTTCTTCTGCCCTGTGACCTCTTGCGTTTTCCAAAGGGTATGAGTTAGCAATTCTTACAATGATCATCTGTTGTGAAAAGGGCTTCTTTATTTATCGAAACAAACCTTTCAACTTCAAATCAACCCAAAAGGAAGAAAGGGGCAACATTATAGATAAAGCATTTGGGAACTGGTGAGTCCCCTTAGTTCTTATTTTTGAATGGTTACTATATGGAAAACCAGTCCAAATAAATCCATTCAATTCTTTGTCTACAGAAGTAGAAGACGAGCCCTGGCTGGCATAGCTCAGTGGATTGAGCATGGGCTGGGAACCAAAGTGTCCCAGGTTCGATTCCCAGTCAGGGTACATTCCTGGGTTGCAGGTCATGACCCCCAGCAATCACACATTGATGTTTCTCTCTCTCTCTCTCTCTCCCTCCCTTCCCTCTCTAAAAATAAATAAATAAATAAATAAAATCTTTAAAAAAAAAGAAGTAGAAGACGATCGTTTGAATTTCAAAGCATTATCAGAAGGAATTTTTATAACTTCACAACTGATTTACTCTGTGCACTATGCCAGGCTATAAAAAGAACCTCCTTCTTAAGACATGAGAATGAACTTGGTACATATTGCCCGGTGCTTCCTTTGGCTCACTTCAGGGAGAGACGCAGTCCTGGCAGGAGGGAAGCTGGGGAGGACGAAGGACTGAAACGTAACCACACTGTGCCTTGTTCCTCTTCCAGGGTCTCACGATTCCTTCAGCTTCTACATTGACGAAGCCTCCCCAGTCGGCCCCGAGCAGCCCGAAACCGTCCAGAATTTCGTCTCCGTGTTTGGAACTGTGGCCAAGAAGCTGATGCGGAAATGGTTAGCCACCCAAACGATGAACTTCACGGGCCAGCTAGGAGCCGGGATCCGTTACTTTGATCTCCGCATTTCCACCAAGCCCAGAGACCCCGACAATGAACTCTACTTTGCTCATGGCTTGTTCAGTGCCAAAGTCAATGAAGGCCTTGAGGAGATCAATGCGTTCCTCACGGATCACCACAAGGAGGTAGTGTTCTTGGACTTCAACCATTTTTACGGGATGCAGAAGTACCACCATGAGAAATTGGTCCAGATGCTGAAAGACATCTATGGCAATAAGATGTGCCCGGCCATTTTTGCGCAGGAAGTCAGTCTCAAGTACCTGTGGGAGAAGGACTACCAAGTGCTGGTCTTCTACCACAGCCCCGTGGCTCTGGAGGTGCCCTTCCTCTGGCCGGGGCAGATGATGCCTGCTCCCTGGGCCAACACCACCGACCCAGAGAAACTCATCCAGTTTCTGCAGGCGTCCATCACGGAGAGAAGAAAGAAGGGCTCGTTTTTTATATCTCAGGTGGTGCTGACGCCCAAAGCTAGCACTGTGGTCAAAGGGGTGGCCAGTGGCCTCAGAGAGACAATCACCGAAAGGTAAGTGCCCTTCAAGTACCAGGGGGAAAGTTTAAACATATGACTGCACATTCATAGGTCCTGTAGGTGATGGAGCTGAAACTCATACCCGTGTGTATGAGTTTCCTGGGGCTGCCAGAACACAGCACCAGAAACTAGGTGGCTTAAAACAAAAGATATTTTTTGTTTGTCTATGAGCTCCAGAAGCTACGATTCTGCAATCAGGGTGTCAGCAGGTTGGATTCCTTCTGAAGGCTTTGGGGGACAGTCTTTTCCATGCCTCTGCCCTCTCTCCTGGGGATAGCTGGCAATCCCCAGTGTTCCTTGGCTTGCAGGTGCATCCCTTCAGTCTCTGTCTCTGTTTCCACCTGGCGTTCTGCCCGTGTGCCCGTCTTCTCTTCTTATCAGGAGCCCAGTCCTGCTGTGTTAGTGCCTTCTCTAGTGCCCTCATCTTCACTTGATTACATCTGCAAGCACCCTGTTTCCAAATAAGGTCACACTCACAAGGATGTGGAATTAGGGCCTCAATAGACCTTTCTAGGACACAGATCAACCCATGGCGCCCTGTGTTCTGACTCCACGTCCAGTTCTCTTTTCGTAGCATCCCTTTCCCCTGTGTGTAGCACTCTACAGGTTACAAAGCCCTTTGTCCACTGTTCACAGGGTCTTTCTCCGTGCTTAGTTACATCGGGTCTAGGTAACAACCCTGGGCAGTAGATACTCTCTCACCGATAAAAATTGAGGTTCGTAGAAGTAGTAGCTTTTGCCTGAGCTCACTTGGACAATGAATGATGACACAGAGTCTTGAGCATATGCCTTTACTTGACACCATAAGCAAGAGTCAGCCTCCAGAGAGAGGGCATCCATCCCCTTGGCCAAGTCCAGCCGTGCATGTGAAGTGTAATTACACCTGCAGCCGCCAAAGCTCTCTGTGGCTCTTTCCCATGAGTGTGATCAAACATGAGAATCTGTATATACTATTTATTCTTCTGAATTAAAGTCTGAAACAATGCAAATAATGTCTGAAGATCAAATACAGGTTCTATCAGAACTTTTATCTGTAGCATTGACAGTTTGAATTATGGTAAAGGGACAAGGCATAACTGTTTCGCTAGGACTCAAGGTCATTGTAGGGAAAGACAAGAAGAGGAGGGGAAAAGATCTGTAGGTGAAAATAATCCATTATTTGGGAAATTGCAGGAGGTGAGCCATGTAGTGGGGGAGAAACACACTTGCAGGAAAGCTTTTCGCCAGGCTGCGGGGAACGTGATCCTGTGAGCAACGGGAGGGTGCTCGGGGAGTGACTTCACCAGGTCTGCCTTCAGATCGGTAACTGGCACAGCTTGGAGGATGGGCGGAGTGGAGAGAGGGACCGCTTAAGAGGTGCTTAGAGCTGTTTGAGTGACGTAATGCAAGCTAAACGGAGGACGAGAGCAAACCCCAAGGCAATTTATGCAAACAGCAATATTAGGACGATTCAGTAGCTATTAAGCTATGTGGTATGCATGGGTGGAAAGATTTGAGAACACGATTTCTTCTTAAGCAGCAGGGGTGATGAAGACACATTCACAGGGGCAGGAAACACAGACATGGGGATGTGAGGAGGAAGTTGGGAAGATATCGTCAGGGTCACTACATTTAAAGTGCTGGCAAGGCACTAAGTTGATGTGGCCAGTTGGCTATAGGAATACAGCCCAACTCCTTTGGCAGTTATTGGCATTTTTGGGTAGTCAAAGGCACAAGATATTGGAGCGTAAAGTTTCCTCCATACAAAAGCATAACTTCGTTTTGTTATCCAGACATTAGCTGGGACCTCCCTGTGTCTTAAGATCTAAGTAAGGTCCCTAGCCCTTCCTTGTACACCCTATGCACGTACAGAACCTTCCCTGGGATTGCTTATATCCTTGCGGTATGAGCCTGGCTGTCTCCAGGCTACATACATTGTTTTATGGATTGATTGTCCCACGTGGCCTTTCCACACCTCACTCTGTACAACCAGAGTCCTGCACCTCGTTCCTTACCCGGTTTCCATATTGGTTTGGAGATTTTGCTGAGGACCCAAGGAGATGGGGAGGTTTTACCACCATAACAAGGTGCATAATTTAAAATTGAATTTTAAACTTGTCTGTGGTCACAAATCTTCTAGCCTAGACTATCTTCCTCTGACCACCCTATTCCTTTTCACCCCAGCTTCCATTCCTCCACCTCCTTCTCCTTCTCTCGTCTCTTTTCTTCCCCTACCCCCACATTGCCTTGGGGATTCCAAACCCTTCCCTAGATTATGACACCAAACACTTCACCTCTTTCCTGGCCACAAGCCTTCGCTCAGATAGCCTCCTCAAAATTCTCAGCAGAATAGGAAGACTTTGAGCACCGCTTTATACTAAAGTTAATCGTCCCAGCACATAACAACTTACCGCCTCCCTTACATATTTGAAAACGAAGGAGCTATATTATATACACATAAAAATGTGTCCTTTTCAGCTTTACCCCATAGGCCTCCCAGATTCTGAGGCATCGCTGAGGGTCCAGCAGAGGTGGGAAAGAGGCAGGTGGGGCTTGGGGATCAACCAGCGCCAGCTTTCTCCATTCTCTCTGCACATGGAATGAAAGCAGCTTCTTTTCCAACGTTTACAGACTGGGCAGGAAAGGAGTCTTCCCACGGCCCCTCCAGCCTCACTTTGCTGCACTTAGAAGAACACACATTTTCATACAACAGGCCTGCTTGGCACTTGACTAAGAGAGCCACACCCCTATTTTACATGTGTAGCGAAGACCCTTCAGGAAGTTAAGGAAAATCTGTTCAAGAAATAAACGACTTTTACTTTTCTCTTTTATGGCATTTCACGAAGTTTAGGACTTTGCAACTTATGAGTTGAACTGCTTTTTGGGTTTTTATGCACTAGTGCAGTGTTACTGAAGTAGGATTTGGGGCAGGGGAAGAAGATCAAATAAGTTAGGAAAGTACTGGAAATGTTTCTATATGTATCTACACATCTCTCCCAAGAGATTCACAATTCACGTTAGCATATAAAAGGCACTAACAAGTGTCTTAGTGGTGAATCTTGTTTAAAGATAACTAATGCAGTGTTTTTCTAGGCACTTTTTTTTTCCAGGCCACACTTAACAGCCCATGAAACTAATTTTTACAAACTGCCTCAGCCAGCAGCTCTAATTCCAAATTTCTCGCTCGCCTCTGCCTTTTATATCTGGAAGAGTAAAGCTGGATCATTGAAAAGAGGAAGAGAAGTGGGTGAGGAAAGAATTTATAAAGTAGAAACAAAGAGTTTCTACAGGTAGCATCAACTTTTTTTCTGTCTGGCATTATAAACTTGACTTGCACGTGTACAAAAACACAGCTGTGACATTTGCGCTATAAGCGTTGTCAATGGGGTTCAGTCTCAGAAAAACCAGAAAGGCCTCTTTTTAAACCAGGTGCAGAGCCTCCGGGATTAAGGTGAAACTCGGAGGTTTTCTTTCTGTCTTGTTCTCAGGTTTTTCAGCTTCCTGCATGAGGTCCGTGGGGAAAGGTCATTGTCGGCTGTTGCATGGTGCCTTGCGGGGTGATTCACTGACCTCTGAGACAGCCAGTGGACGAACCCTTGAGCCCCCAGGAATGTGTCCCTCTCTCTCCTCCTCCAGTGAAGGAGGAGACTTCTCTGCCACTTTCCCCTTGAGGCTGCACCACCGCCACTCAGTCAGAGACCCTACGTGAACACCACCAGAGGGGACGGGTCTCTCCTTTGCCCCGGAAGGAGAACGGGCCAGGCACTGTGGCGACCTTTCTGGGCCCGGTGTATGTTCATCTGCGAGACTGGGAGTTTGAACTAGAATATCTCCCAGATCCTTTTCTGTTTCAAATTCCTACAGTTCTAAGATCCTGCATTTGACTAGTTTCTCTAAAAACTTTTTATGGATATTTGCTATTTGGGTAACAAAACTCTGAGCACATGCGCTGCTTAGATAGCAGTGTCTGAAGGGATGGGTGTCTCTCAGGGCAATGGGATGGAGGGAGCATAGCTTCCAATCTGGCCGCTGGGTCTGGACACTGCGGATGCATTTTCTACAGTTTAGCAGTGCCGGAAGACGCAGATTTTATTTCTTAAAGACCTATTTTTAATTTATTTTTCAAACACCAGCTTTTGCACCTCACCCCCACGGAATTCACACAGTCTCAAAAAGAAGGTGTGCAATTTGAGTCAGTTTTTTCCCTAATTTGTGGAAGTTTATGAAAGTGTAGGTTTTTCCGTTAAAAAATAGTCATACCACCTGCCAGAATTTTTAAGGAGCAATGCATTTGTGCAAGTAAATTGATATTGAATTAATTCAGACAATATTTCTATAGGCAACAGTTTAGATGATAACAACAAGTTATTTTTTTAAGATTTTATTTATTTTTAGAGAGGGAAGGGAGGGAGAAAGAGAGAGAAAGAGAAACATCCATGTGCGGTTGCTCGGGGCTATGGCCTGCAACCCAGGCATGTGCCCTGACTGGGAATCGAACCTGCGATGCTTTGGTTCGCAGCCCCTGCTCAATCCACTGAGCTACGCCAGCCAGGGCACAACAACAAGTTATTTTAAGTGTTCTCTGCCTGTTGAATACTATGCTAACTGCTTCATAAGCATTGATTGGTTTAATAGTCACAAAACTCCCCAAGATAGGATTGCCATGCCATCATAAATGAAAGGATGAGCCTTAGAAAGTTCAGCAACTTACCCAGATGGTGGAGTTAAGAAAAGATGGATTCAAGATTTAAATCCACTTTGTTCCATTTTTGTGTTTATTCATAAAACAAACACATTTGGGTGCCTGCTCTTCTCCAGACACAGTACTCAAGGTGTGACTTCAGATACGGGATCCCAAAACCATTGCCCCGCCCTAGCCTTCTGCGTTCAGTGAGAATCCGGAGTGGTGGCTGGAAATGTGTTTTCCTCTCATCATATGGCGAATACCTCGATGACACTGGCAGTGTATCCAGGTGGAGGGTTCAATTTGGTACCTACCTGCTGAGCAGCTCCCG